TCTTCTTCTTCTTCTTCTTCTTCTTCTTCTTCTTCTTCTTCTTCTTCTTCTTCTTCTTCTTCTTCTTCTTCTTCTTCTTCTTCTTCTTCTTCTTCTTCTTCTTCTTCTTCTTCTTCTTCTTCTTCTTCTTCTTCTTCTTCTTCTTCTTCTTCTTCTTCTTCTTCTTCTTCTTCCTTCTTCTTCTTCTTCTTCTTCTTCTCCTCCTCCTCCTTCTCCTTCTCCTTCTCTTTCTCTTTCTCCTTCTCCTTCTCCTTCTCCTTCTCCTTCTCCTTCTCCTCCTCCTCCTCCTCCTCCTCCTCCTCCTCCTCCAAGATCACTTGCATCATAACAACTGTAGCAGTGAATATGATTGGTTAGTGGAAAATAAGATTTTGGAAACAGATTCTGCAAAATGCCAATGGAAACCAGTCTGCATTTGCATGATACCTGTGGCCTCCAGTAAGCTTGAAATCTGGGTCATGAACTGTCATGAAAGGAAAAGAGAAGGCAGTGTGTGGAGGCTGGCTGGCTCTTTGCAGCGACCTGTACAGAATAGAATACAGAATAACAGAGTTGGAAGGGAAGTCTTCTAGTCCAATCCCCTTCTCAAGCAGGAATACCATTTCAGACAAATAGTTGTCCAATCTCTTTTTAAAAACCTCCAGTGTTGGAGTGCCCACCACTTCTGAAGGCAAGTTGTTCCACTGGTTAATTGTTCTAACTGTCAGGAAATTTCTCCTTAGTTCTAGGTTGCTTCTCTCTTTGGTTAATTTCCATCCGTTGCTTCTTGTCCTGCCTCCAGGTACTTTGGAGAATAGCTTGACTCCCTCTTCTTTGTGGCAGCCCCTGAGATACTGGAACACAGCTATCATGTCACCCCTCGTCCTTCTCATCATTAAACTAGACATACCCAATTCCTGCAATCGTTCTTCATATGTTTTATTATCCAGTCCCCTAATAATCTTTGTTGCTCTTCCCTGCACCCTTCCTAGCTTGACATGCAAATGCATCCCTTTATTGGAAGAATATGTACAATTGCAACAGATGTGTGTAACCCTGAATATAGTAGGCAAACAAGGATTAGCCTTTGGCTTTCAAGTTGGGTTCATACCAGGCAGAGCTTTCTTGACCTATTTATTTGTTTACTATCACCGATAAATTTAAGAAACTGCTTACGGTGGAAGAGTTGAATCTGAACTATGTTTTTTTATTTCAATTCCCACAGGGGAAGGATGTCTGAAATCTCCTCAGAACCCACACAGCACAGTAATAGCTGCACATTTTTCTGTGAATTACTGTAGGTGTTGCTTTCCCTTTGTGGGTGCAAAATGGAGAGATAGGATCAAAGAAAGTCTCTTCCTGTGTGACAACTCAAGCATCTGCCTGTAAGGTTTTCATGTAGAACTGGAGCTCCAGAACTTTTTCTTAAGAGCATAATAATAATAATAATAATGATGATGATGATGATGATGATGATGACAAATTCGACATTAGTCAATTGCAAAAGGTGGCCTTACTAGGAACTGCTTCCATCCTGCGACGATATCTGTAATACCATCAAACATCCACATCTGCCTATCCCAGATCCTTGGTAAGGACTCAATAGGTAGACAAAAATGCCAAATCCAGTCTGAACATCTGGCTGACTATGCAATGATCAATAATAATAATAATAAAGTTGGAAGGGACCTTGGAGGTCATCTAGTCCAACCCTCTGCTCAGGCAGGAAACACTATACCATTTCAGTCAAATGGCTGTCCAGTCTCTTCTTAAAAACTTCCAGTGTTGGAGCATTCACAGCTTCTGGAGGCAGGTTGTTCCACTGGTTAATTGTTATAACTGTCAGGAAGTTTCTCCTTAGTTCTAGGTTGCTTCTCTCTTTGGTTAGTTTCCATCCGTTGCTTCTTGTCCTGCCTTCATGGGCTTTGGAGAATAGCTTGACTCTCTGAGATACTGGAACACTGCTATCATGTCATCCCTCATCCTTCTCTTCATTAGACTAGACATACCCAATTCCAGCAACCATTCCTTATATGTTTTAGCCTCCAGTCCAAAACCATGAATGGGCTCTTGAAACAGACTTGGTGGTGTGAAAAGACTCGGATGGCTATGAAATTGCTAAATCCATTCTCTATCTAGGCCAGCATTAGAACTTCCCAAGCCCTCAAACCAAGCTCTTTTTAAGGCCTATCCCTAAGGATCAGTTAAAGTGCGGTACACAGATCTGTTTATTGGCAAACAAACTAGAGATAGTCCTTGACTTACAGCAGTTGGTCATGTGATCAAAACTCAGACGCTTGGCAACGGACTCATATTTAAATGGTTACAGTGTCCTGAAGCCACATGATCACCTTTTGCAAGCTTCTGACAAGCAGGTAAGTGAATCCCTGCAGACGTTATGTGAGTAACATGGTTGTGAGGTGAATCTGGCTTTCCCATTGACAGCTTGACAGAAGATCGCAAAAGGTGATCACGTGACCCCAGGACATTGTCAGAAAAATGAGTCAGTTGCCAAGTGTCTGAATTTTGATCACGTGACCACGGGGATGCTGCAATGGTCGTAAGTGTGAAAAACTGTCATAAGTCTCTTTTTTTTCCAGTGCTCTTGTAACTTCAAACGAAATGTTGTGAGTTGAAGACTACCTGTATTGCTAATACATTTATATAACTATAAGGTGACCAACTTTTTTACAATGAGAAGGAGGACACAAATAAATTGAAGAAAAAAAATTATGAATAAATAAAATTAATTATTAAAACTGAAACAATAACATAAGCGAATAAACTTGTAAATAAAATTATACATATCTGGAAATTATTAAATAGATAATGAATTAATGAAACGTGAATTATTGTGCTCACCTGTGTATGATTGAATATTCACTGAGAAAGAAGTGAGTCTAATGCGTGCATGTGTGCCGTGTCGTGTTTCGGTAAGAAGTAAACAAAGCCACTTGCGTACGGCACACTCTTGCGCGCGGGGCACTCTCTCAAAACAACTCTCCGGTGCGGAGCGCATGCGTCTCATAATCGCGTCTTGCCATACTGTACCGAGCCTTGATAAATCGTCATGTCAAATACAAATACGTCACATCACACGCAACGGATCAGATCGGCATCGATTGAATTTACAGATTAGTCTTCAAATATCGAAAAGGAGGACATGTAGGAGGACACTTTTCGAGAGAGGACAGAACTTACAAAAGAAGGACTGTCCTCCCTAAAGGAGGACGATCGGTCACCTTAGTAACTATCATGTTTTTAACCCACTGTATTTTGTGAAAATGAGTCCCATATCTCAGTATATTTGTCCATACAGTAAAAAATCTGTAGGCAATGTGCAGGCAGTCCCAGGGTCATGTGATCAACTTTGCAACCTTCCGACAAGCAAAGTCAATGGGGAAGCTAGATTCACTTAACAATCGTGTTACTAACATGAGTGATTCACTTAACAACTGTGGCAAGAAAGGACGTAATATGGGCAAAATTCACTTAACAGCTGTCTTGCTTGGCAACAGAAATTTTAGGCTCAGTTGTGGTTGTAAGTTGAGGAATACCCATACATCCTCAATCTTGCTGATCAGTAGGCAGGGAAGAACTTGATGATCCTCCATAACCCATCATTTCCCCAAACCTGGATAAGCCGTCCGTTTTATTTGGGATTCAGGAGTAACACCTTGACTTCAGTTTTCCTGCAGACGTGGTGGTAGATCATTTTCTCCATGGTGGATGTTCCTGCTTCGTGCTGCCTCCTGGCTTCTGGGCTCTCTCTTCTTTCCACGCAAACCTACAATATTTTCGCGCTTACCTTTCACTGAAGTTTCGATAAATTAAGTGGAAGAATGGAACCTTGTCAGCTTTTCAACTTAACTTTGATTGTGATGGCCAAATAAAACAGACCACGAATGGGCAGGAGGGTAGAGGAATGGCTGGATGCTGATTTTTCACACTCAACTTTTGATTACCATGGACAGAGGTAGGCAACCGTGGCTCTTTTATGACTTGTGGACTTCAACTCCCAGAATTCCTGAGCCAGCCATGCTGAGGGAAAAGGGAGAGGTTTCCAAGCTGAGCCATGCTGGCTCAGGAATTCTGGGAGTTGAAGTCCACGAGTCATAAAAGAGCCACGGTTGCCTACCCCTGACCACGGAGCAGTGTGAGTGATGTCATGTACCATCCATGAATTCAACTTTGGTCTTAGTGAGGACACTCGGGGCTTGATCTAAAAATACTCTGAGTCTTTGGAGAACAAAAATGGTAGTGTAGGACAATCTGAATCTTGGGGGATTTTTTTTTCTGTTTTGACAGACAAGATAGTGTATTTTAAAGTTGTTTTTCATAGTGAGGGAGCATATAATTGCACTTAGATCAGCATTTCTTTCGCCACAATTGGGCCAATGTGGTCAGTGACAAGTAACACGTTTCTGATGATTTTATGAGAATTCCAGTATCTGTTTTAAATAACTACCACCCACATTGAGTTAACCTTTCAGACGAAGCATCTTCGTATGCTTGAACAGATTCTGAAATTAATAGGTGCCTTTCTTTAGTATTCACAGCAGGAAGCCTATGTTTAGGATCTTATTCTTTTCAGAAAAGAGCAAATGTGATTAAGCTTTTTTTTAAAAAATCAATTTCTTCTCTGCTCCAGATTCATAAGAAAGGCTAACTCAGCAGGCCAGGAAATTTTTTGAATAAGAACCCTGTACTTTGAGATGCAAATAATAATAATTAATATATTATTATTATTATTATTATTTTAAAAAACAGCTTTGTAGCCTTTTTTTCGGCAACCAGGTCACATTTACAGTCATTTGCAGGATCTTGATGAGGGTTTTGACAAAAACCAGCAGTTACTTCCAGTTTTCTGCAAAAACCACCTGCCATAGAGAACCATAGGTTCATTTAGTCACTACGCCATTTGCTTAATGATCAATGCAAAAAAGTTTGTAAAATCGGATTTATGAGTGTCCTGACTTACAGCTGTGATGAGCAGGCTCTATTATGATCGTTAAGTCAAGGACTGCCTGTACTGTATTTATTCTTCTTTCTCTACTGTACCTTAAATAAAGACGGCCCCTCTTCTTTTTACAGGCCCCCCGCGATCGTTGGGCTACAACATCGATCCTTCTCCAGCGATTCTCTTCTCATCAAACCACAGCAAGCACTTTGGCTATCAGGTCCTCCAACTTGGGAAAGGCTCTGCAGCAAGGTAGCTCCCCCCCCCAAAAAACCACCCTCGTTCCCACATTCAGTATATCGCAGTCCTCAACTTATGACCATTTGTTTAGTGACCGTTCGAATTTGCAATGGCGCTGAGAAAAGTGACTTACAAATGGTCCTTGCACTTACGACTGTTAGAACGTCCCTGTACAGGTAGTCCTCGACTTACAACAGTTCATATAGCGACGGTTCAAAGTTACAGCGGCCCTGAAAAAAGTGACTCATGACTGTTTTTCATACTTTCAGCATCCCACATGGTCCTGTGATCAAAATCCGGACGCTTGTCAACTGACTCATATTTGTGACGGTTATATTGTCCCCGAGTCCTGTGACCCCCCCTATTGGGACCTTCTGACAAGCAAAGTCAATGGGGAAGCCAGATTCACTTAACAACTTTGTTAGTCACTGGCAAGAAAAGTTGTAAAATGGAGTAAAACTCACTTGACAAATGTCTTGCTTAGCAACAGAAACGTTGGGCTCAATTGTGGTCGTAAGTCGAGAACTACCTGCAGTTACCAGATCGTGATTTGGGTGCTTGGCAAATGTTTATGGTGCTTGTAGCATACGAGAGTCACGTTCTTGCCGCTTGCAGCCTGCCCAGCTGCTTTCCAACCAGCAAAATCAATGGGGAAGCCGGCAGAAAGTTTCAAGTCACAGTCACGTGACGTCTCGCTTAACGACGAGGGCAAAAAAAACAGTTATAACATCGGGTGTTGTCATGTGACCCCTCACTTAACAACCACACCACTTAACAAAGAATGTTCCGGTCCTAATTATGGTCGTAAGTCGAGGACTGCCAGGTTTTGGGGGAGAAATTCGCCTATTGCAGTGACGGCGAACCTTTTAGAGACCGAGTGCCCAAACTGCAACCCAAAACCCCACTTATTTATCGCAAAGTGCCAGGGCTGCATCAGCATTGTGGTGCCCTCAGGGAGGGTGGGGGGCGTGGCCCACTGGGTGGGCGTGGCTGCAGTGGTCACAGCAGATTGGGTGAGCATGGCATCCCCGGGGAGGGGCGACGCCGCTTGCTCGCTCACTTCCTGCCCTGTCGCTTCCAAACGCCACGTGCTCGCTACTCTGGCGAACTCTGCTGGGGCAACGGCGCGTGTGCCCACAGAGAGGGCTCTGAGTGCCGCCTCTGGCACGAGTGCCCTAGGTTCGCCACCACTGTCCTATTGGATGAATCTTTGTGGTTGGGGTTCCTCTAATTATTGGGGTGAGGTGGGGGAAGTAGAACTGGCATCCTTTTGGCTAGTCAAGTTTTTAATGCTTTAACAGCTGTTAGAGTCATTGGGCAAAGAAGGGAGACCCTCTCTGAGGGGTGTTTGCAGCATTAACACCAGACACCAAGAATAGGAGAGGAAAGACAACATACGCAGAACGTTAGTTGCAGGGGGTGAGAATTCTCTACATCGGAAGCAGAGATGGTTGAAGATAAGAAAGTCACAGAGTTGCTTAATTATAATCACATGGCTTCTTCTGAGCCTTCATAAGTCTGCCTGTATCAGTGAAGTCCCTGTAATTCAGTGTGTAGGTTGGCTTTGTAAGAAAAGCCTTTGCCTGTCTCTCTAACGCTTGTCCACCTGAAAATACAGTGAAGCTGTGATCTCTCAACATCTCGGAAGCTGACTGACAACCAGCGGCTTCAAAATAGGTGTCGCTGTCAGCCTCACGGCGTTGCTTTGTCACAACTCCGGGTACTGCATTTTGTACAGTGGTAACTTCCGGATCATCTCCAAAGAGTACGTTACAATTCAGTACAGGTAGTCCCCCACTTACGGCCATTCGGCGACTGTTGTACTGATTTACGACAAGTCCTCAGTCTTACGACCATGGCCGCACCTCCACAAACACACGATTGAAGTTTGGATTCTTGGCAACTAACACGGTTGCAGCTTCTCCGGGTCATGTCATTGCCAACTGCAACCTTCCCAGCCAGCTTCTGACAGGCAAGGTCAATGGGGGAAGCCCGACTCATTTAATGACCAAATTGTTTGTTTGTTTGTTTGTTTGGAAAATCTATATTGCCGCCTGCTCACTCACAGTGACTCAAAGCGGCTTAGAGGAAATAAAAACACAATATAAAAGAAATAAAAATTAAAAAAATAATAAAAAAATAATAGCCCCTCAGCCCCCCCCCCCCACACACACACACTCATACCAGCCATTTAAAGGGCTCCATCCCGCTCTGGGTTCCCTAGGCCCGCTGGCAGAACCACGTCTTCAGGGCCTTATGAAAGAGTGTCAGAGTGGGGGCCAGGCTAATTTCCGGAGAGAAGATATTCCAGAGGAAGGGAGCCACCACAGAGAAGGCCCTTCTTTTGGGTCCTGCCAGCTCCCCTCTCTGGTGGGTCAGGTGGATGTGACCAGCAAGAGATGGTCCCTCAGATAACCTAGTTAACAGGATTTTGCTTAGAACTGGGGCAAGAAAAGGTTGTAAAATCAGGCACTAGTCAATTAGCAGCTGCCTTGCTTAACAATGGAAGTTCTGGTCCCAGTTGTGGTTGCAAGTCGAGGACTGCCTGTAGTCCATCCAAGTGGCTATGAGGACCCAGCTTACTGCCCTGAGGGCATCTTGTAGAGGCGTCCTTGTAGTGCTGTATCTGATGTCCCAACTACAGCTAGGTCAAGGCTGTCCTGGCTCCCAGTTCCACCCTAAGTTGTGATTAGAGCATGCCCCCATCAAGAGTGCAAGGTAGTCCTCAATTTACAACCATTCGTTTAATGACTGAAGTTACAATGGCACTGAAGAAAGTGACTTACGACCCGTTTTCACACATCACCGTTGCAGCATCCCTATGGCCAAATGACCAGTTGCTTGGCAACTGGCATGTATGCAGGACCATTGCACTGTCCCCAGGTCATGTGATCCCCATTTGTAACCCTCCCAGCCAGCTTCCGACAAGCAAAATCAGTGGGGGAAACCAGATTCACATAATAACCAAATGATTCACTTAACAACTGCAGGTATTCTCTTAATAACTGTGGCAAAAAGGTTGTAAAATGTCGTGATTAGCAACATAAATTTGGGGCTCAATTGTAGTTGTTAATCGAGGACTACTTGAGCTACTGTTAGTAACTTGTCCAGACGTCTGTTGACAACTACATTGTTTGAATGAGATTTCAATGGAACTGGATTTGGCCCATTCAGATACGGCCTACAAGCACTAGTTGGCTCCAAGTTAGTTTCCTGTAAATTGGACGCTATATTCATGCTTGTTATTTTCCCCAGTCCTCAGTTTGAACCCCGTTTCAGGGCATGTTTATTCTGTATTTATTTGTAGCTAGGAGTAAAGTGGTTATTTCCAACCAGGTTCCCTTTTTGTTTTCGCGTTTCCTACCTTCTACCACCCTAGTTTTGAGGAAGTGAGAGTAAAAACTAATAGTGGAATAGGGAAGGAAGTAAAATGGATACCTATTATTTTGAGGGAAGGGTTCCCCTTTAGAGCAATACGATCGGCAGGAATTCAGATGGTGCAACTTCCCCATTGAAGGACATGGTCACAAAGCACCAGTTTCTGGGCTCTTCCATCAAGTAGAGCTAAGTGCTGCCATCCGGTGAAGGGGTTGGCAGGAAACCAGGCAGGCTTAAAGAAGTGCTGATCGCATGGCCAAACTTCTGTCCCACGGTAGGATCAGGCTCAATTTCGGTCGTAACTCGAGGACTACCTGTATAAATTTAATAAATTTAATAAATAAAAATAAATAAATAAGATGGAGGAAGAGACGTGGCACAATCAGACTTGCAAGTTTCTCTTTTATATCAAGTCTGATTGTGCTACCTCTCTTCCTCCATCTTATACAGGTAGTCCTCGAGTTACGACTGAAATTGAGCCCAAATTTTCTGTCGCTAAACAAGACAGTTTTGCACCATTTTATGACCTTTTTTCCGCAGTTGTTAAGTGAATCACTGCAGTTGTTAAATTAGTAATATGGTTGTTAAGTGAATCTGGCTTCCCCATTGACCTCACCTTGCATTTTCACAGGAATGGCCCTACAGCACATGGCCTATCAATATTATCCCACCTCCTCTATTTATTCTCTTCCAGAGTCATTGTGGGAGCTCCAGGGGAGCAGAACTCCACAGGCAAAGTGTACCAATGTACTTTGAAGAGCAAAGACTGCAAGGACATCCCATTCCAGGGTAAAATGAAGGATTTCTAAATTCTCCATGGCTGTGAGTAAAAGGCCCATTGAAGGCTACAATGGCAGAGAAAGGCCATGATTTTCCAAAAGGTGGAGATGCCAGGGTGGCGCAGTGGTTAGAATGCAGTATTGCAGGCTGACTCTGCCAACTGCCAGCAGTTTAATCCTGAATGGCTCAAGGTTGATTCAGCCTTCCGTGCTTCCGAGGTCGGTAAAATGAGGACCCAAATTGTTGGGGGCAATATGCTGACTCTGTAAAGCCGCTTAGAGAGGGCTGTAAAGCACTGTGAAGGCGGTATATCAGTCTAAGTGCTATTGCTAAGTGCTAAGACCTGCAGTCATGATTGTAGGATGCCTCTACGCATCTGTGAGGAGAAAGCAGGAGAAGAGAAGGATATGCTCAGAGGCTGGGTGAAATATTCTGAAACTGACCTAAAGGATTAATATCTATGGATACAGATAGTCCTCGGTTTACAACCATTTGTTTAGCGACTGTTTGAAGTTACAACAGCACTGAAAAAAGTGACTTATGACCTGTCCTTACATTTAGAATCGTCGCAGCATCCCTGGGGTCATGTGATCAAAATTTGGACGCTTGACAATCAGCATATATTTGTGACGGTTGCAGTGTGCCGGCATTATGTGATTGCCAGCTGACTTCCCACAAGCAAACTCAATGAGGGAAGCCAAATTTGCTTAACAACCGTGTAGTTCACTTAACAAACGGAGTGATCTACTTAATAACTGTAGCAAAAAAAACAAACAACCCAGGCGCGACTCACTTAAAACCACCTCGCTTAGCAATGAAAGTTCTGTTCCCAGTTGTGGTCATAAGTCGAGGACTACCTGTAAGGAGGAAATTTAGGTAATATTTCCTTCAGCATTAACCAATCAATCTCTTTCTCTTGCTCTCTTTTTGCAGAGAATTCTCCAATACCCCATCTCGGCATGACCCTGGCAAGCAATATACAGGGAAATAAAATGATTGTGAGTTTGCTCTAGAAGGGAGGATAAAGTTGGGCAGGGGTTTAAGCTGCTTTCTGACAGGCAGAGACAGATCTTTAAAATTGCTTCTCATCCCTGAATCAATGTTGGAAGAAAAGCTGTATTTAAGTGAACATGAATGACAATGGAGGCAAAATTTCTTGCAGATAAGTATTTACTCGGCTTCCATATATTTTGATCAAACTTGTGCTGGGAATTATTTTGGTGGTTAATTAGTTCATGTGTTGTGAAAAACAAATTATTCTGAGTAGTCAAGAATCTCAAATAACAGTCTCCCCCAAATCTTCAGTCCCAAACCTAGAAGAACACCCATAAAGCCTTATGTATCTTATGATTATGATATGATTTATTGACATCTTATGATTTATCACTTGTTGTTTGTACTTTATGATTAATGATTGTAACTATGATTTACGATCTCTGATCTATCACTTTGTTGTTGTATGTGTGTACAATGAGAGCTTACCTTATGCATCGGAGACAAATTCCTTGTGTGTCCAATCACACTTGGCCAACAAAGAATTCTATTCTATTCTATTCTATTCTATTCTATTCTTATCAGAACACACAAACGTTGAAACACGCAGACTTTTGAAGTTTACTGTCTCTCTCATAATCTACAGATACACAAACAGAGCAAAGGAATATCCAGAGGATCGCCCATTTCAGGATTCATAGCAAAAACCAGTGATGGAATATTTAGAAACAATAATCTTACTGACACAATCAGGAATATGATCTATCCAGTCCAGTCCCATATCCACAATCTCAGTTGTGTGACTAGCGCATTCCTCATTATCAAAAAAGATAAAACCACCAGTAATTCCTTTCATGGAATCAGATTCAGAACAGAGAGAGCAACAAGAAATGAGTCTTCCTGCACATATAAGGAAAACTATGGGAAACAATGAACCCAAATGTGCTGCAAAACTCACATTGATCAAGTGCTCAAGTGGCACAGCAACAGCCCAATAGTACATAAGAGAAGCTATGTAAAATCTCTCTACTGCCAAGTGAAAACAATGCAATAATCCAGAATTCCAAAAAGCAGAAGTAGACGATATCCTTATAACTTCATCAAAAAGTTTTATCCATGCATCCAATAACTACCCAAATTCCTAACCATGAAAGGAATACATCTACCCTATATGAAAAATATCTCTTTGAAGCTTCCACCATATAATCCTAGGTATCACGATAGCCCATAAACCAACAAGATCTATCCAGACTATCCTAAGCAACCCAAAGGCCCACAGCCAAGGAAGACATAACAGGAGTCATCTACAAGTGGAAGGACAGTGAAAACCATTATGTAGAAAATTGAGAGAATACATGCACGAACATCAACTGACAGTCAGGAGACACAATAAAAACTCCTTAATTTCACAACACAATGACATGTTCAACCACAATTTCAAACGAGAAGCGTAAACATCTTAGACTTAGACCAAGCCTAATTCACAAATATCAGAGAATTCCTGTAGGTTTTTCTTTGGGATTCTTTAGTAGGTTCACATCCTTCTTCATTGTCCCAAAGGTGCTTTTTCAAGAGGCAAATGGACTTTCTTTGCTTCTCATTCAAGAAGCTTCTTCAGTTTTGACTCAGTTCTGACTCAGAACTGGAGAAGCTTCTTGGATGAGAAGCAAAATATCTTCAAGGAAAAACAAAGGAAGTCCAGTTGCCTCTTGAAAAAGCACCTTTGGGACAACCATGACCTGGATGATTGGGAATGTCCATAGACATCCTTTTTCATTCCACACCTATTAAGGGACGCACCAAATGAACAAGAATAATCAAAGAAGAGATGATGCCTACCCCAAAAGCAATTAGGGAAGAAGCAACACCCCAATCAAGGTTGATAGGACAAGATACCACCTATAAAGGGCCAACTCTAGTCCTCCCTGCATTGATGATGTTCTTCAGCCTGGTGATGAAAAGTCTGCAGGAAGGAAAGCAAGCTTAGAGAACACCAAGTACTCCCCCAAATCAACATAAGCAAATATAACATCTGATGGCTGCTCTAATCTCACTAAGCATTAGAACAATCAAAAATGTTTCCAAAATGAAAACCGTTCAGAAACTTCCAGAAGACCAAGAATTAGAAAGCCAAGCATATTTCTGAGTTCTAGAGAGAAGGGGGTCGCACCTGAGAAGGTCTGCTCCATCCATTATATCAGCATTCTGCTCAGGGCCAAAGGTGGACTATTTCATTTAATTTAGCTTAGACCTCTCCAACTTGTCAACCTCTAGATGGGTTGGGTCTTCAGAATCTCTGCTGGGGTTACAATCCCCCAAAAATCTCTAAAAGGTACCCATTTAAGGAAATACATTTTAGGTGATAGGAATGGCTCATCCTGGACTGATGATCTTCATTGCTCTTCTGGATCCCTTTTCCGAGATTCCCAACATCCCTTTTGCTTTTAATATGGCCACTAACCTCTGCACTTCTTTGTCTCCAGTTTCCTTCACTTTCTTGATGACAATAGGAACAGTAAAACTTTCTCTCTGCAGGCATGTGGGCCAGGCGTTGAACAACACTGTGACAAAAATCTTTATGTAAGTGGAATCTGCTACCTGTTTAACACCAAACTGCAAAACCCCAAGAACATAACAACAGGATATCAAAGTAAGGAGATTCGTTATTATTAAAAATTTTAATTGTAATAGTTAATATGACAGAGGAAAGGCGTTATTAAACACCTGAAGAATATTTAGTTGAATCCAGTTTAGTTTCTGTTCAGCTTCACATATGTCCTTATCTGGAGGTCAATCTAATTTTTGGCCCACCATCAACAGGAAGTTCCTCACAGCCTGGAAATCCCAACTGCCCTTTTTTCACCTGAGTTGTTCTTTCTTTTGTTTCATCCCACAGAATGCCTGAAAGGAAAAGTGGACCTGGTGTTTCTTTTTGACGGGTCGGCAAGCATGAAAACATCTGAGTTCTTGACTATCAAGGAGTTCATGATTGACGTCATGAAAGAATTGTGGAATAGTTCTGTACATGTAAGGTCTACTTACTGAGTACCATGTAATTGCCATGGAGAAATTTATTTCCTTCCTTCCTTCCTTCCTTCTTTCCACTCCTCCTTCCCTCCCTCATTTTCCTTCCTTCCTTCTTTCCACTCCTCCCTCCCTCCCTCATTTTCCTTCCTTCCTTCTTCCCCTCCCTCCCTCCCTCTCTCATTTTCCTTCCTTCCTTCCTTCCTTCCTTCCTTCCTTCCTTCCTTCCTTCCTTCCTTCCTTCCTTCCTTCCTTCTTTCCTCGGAAGATTATATCTTTACTCCTGCCTGAAAATGTTTAGGCTGACTTGGTATATCAGAGGACATAACCATTAAAAACATTAATTTGTCTCTTCTATGAATTCACACAATACTGTAGGAGGGAGGGAGGGAGGGAGGGAGGGAGGGAAGGAAGGAAGGAAGGAAGGAAGGAAGGAAGGAAGGAAGGAAGGAAGGAAGGAAGGAAGGAGAACACACAGAAAAGACAGATATTGGGCATTAGCATGGTAGCTTTGTCCTGTTTACCTTTAGATGTCCGCTGCAAGTCATCAAACCTTACTCATTCTGCAGCCAAGCTCTGGAAAGACTGAACCTTCCACCAAAAGAATATCTCCTGGACACAGGTCATGGCATTGGGGGACAGTCTCCAGAGCCTTCTGGATAATGACATGGACTCCTGATCCCCAGTCCAGCCCATCAGGATCCAGAACCAGGGGGGAGGAAGGGATGGATGAATGGATGGAAGGAAGGAAGGAAGGAAGGAAGGAACTTGAGGTCGGACCCCCCCCCCCATTTCTGCTGCACTGTTGTAATTATGGATCCACAGGCAGAAAGTGGGTCTGTTGACTCTGATTTCATAAAGGGCAACTTATGAGACGTTGACAAGAAAATCATTCAGAACGATTCTGCCTTAATTAAGGAGGTTGACTTAATTATAATCAGGGCTGGGAAATTCTTCTTGTGGTTTTCAAGATTCTGTGCTGACTCCAGATTAAGATTAAGATTAATGATTTTCAACAGCACCCTTTCTTTCGACCACTTTGGCAATGAGAGACGTGCTGTGTTTTGCAGAAGACCTTCCCAGCCGTGCCATTAATCCCAGTCTCTTTCTCTTTCCACCCTTCCAGTTTGCGGCCGTGCAGTTTTCAGAGGATGCCAAACTCGAATTTGATTTTAACAACTATACCAGTAATCCAAATCCTGAAAAACTCTTGGCCAATGTCGTACATGCCGAGCAAATAACAAACACCTTCAAAGCTATCAAATTTGTGGCGTAAGTAAAGTTTTCCTTTTGGTGGCAGGAGGTTGGGTGGGGAAGGGCAACTTGAGAAAAGATCCGATCAAGTTGGCGATTTAAGATACTGTGTCTTTTCTAAAGATTTAGATCACAATTGCATAGAAACATAGTGATTAATCAAGCAGGATATCCAGATATGGAATGTGCATTAAATTGGAGTAGCCAGAGGGTTTTAACCACAATTTGAAATTACATTTTGTCTAATGCACTCTGGCACGTTGCTCAAAGCTGGTTTATTGTAGTAAAATAATGTTTCCAATCTCTGGTTAGAATAGTGGGAAGCTGGAGGGCATTCCTAGTTCTGATATTCCCACCAGGATGAAATGGTTGCCAGTTGCCAAGCATCCAAATTTTGATCACGTGACCATAGGGAGGCTGCAACGGTCAAAAGTGTGAAAAATGGTCATAACTCACTTTTTTCAGTGCTGTTGTAACTTTGAATGGTCACTAAACGAATAGTTGTAAGTCAAGGACTACCTGTATTAGCTTTCAGCTGATACAGCTTTCCAAATTAGATACCTTCCATAAATAGTAGCCTTAACCTCAATTCATCCTAGCAGACAGCCTTGGTTGTGTTAGCATAGTTTTAGCCTGAAGGATCAAATTATGGCAAGACTGCTAGAGGCCAAATGCATGTTTGACGTTATACATGTGCCTTCAAGTACCAATAATTAAAGTGCACTCCTCATTTTCCTTGGTTTAGATCCGGGTTTCTCAAACCGGTCAATTGCAAAATGTGTGGACTACAACACCCAGTTGTCAAGTTTGAGAAACACTGGTTTAGATAATAATTCCTGTGTTTGCTGGTGGCAGAAACGAAGTCTTCATTCCCGAACGTGGCACGCGAAAAGAAGCAAACAAAGTGATTGTCATTATCACGGATGGGGACGCCTCAGACAGGGACAGGGGACATATAGAAGCTGTCAAGAAAAAGAACATTTTGCGCCTAATCATTGGGGTAAAGTATCCAAAGGTGTTGCCCATCTGGCTAATGAACAGAACCACCAAGCAGTGTTGAAGAGATCTACCTTATATGCTATGTTAATGTTAACATGTAAAAAGTAGCTTAAAAGGAGAAAAGTGAAGAAACGTATTTTAATTAATAAGATCAGATATTTTTCAGGCATTAATAAAAGTTAATTCTATACCTGTCTGCGTATAGATAGTCCTCGATTTATAACAACAGCTGGGACCAGAATTTCTGTTGCTCAGCTAGGCAAATTAAGTGAACCGTGCCTGATTTTATGACCTTTTTTGCTATGTTTGGTAATTAATGGCTTCCTCCATGAATTTTGCTTCTTGGAAGCCGGCTGGGAATCACATGATCCGGGATGCTACAACCATTGCGAATACATCCCAGTTGCCAAGTGCCCAAATTTGGATCATGTGACCTGGAGATGCTGTGACAGTCATAAATGCAAGGATCATTATATGTCCCTTTTTTCAGTGCTGTTGTAGCTTCGAACAGTTGCTAAGCAAATGGTTGTAAGTCGAGGACTACCCATATGTAACAAATGTTCATGTACAGGTAGTCCTTGACATACCACCACAACTGAGCCCAGAATTTGTGTTGCTAAGTGAGAAATTTGTTAAGTGAGTTTTGCCCCGTTTTACGACTTTTCTTGCCACAATTGTTAAGTGAATCACTGCAGTTGTTAAATTAGTAACACGGTTGTTAAATGAATTTGACTTCCCCATTGATTTTGCTTGTCAGAAGGTCGCAAAAGAGGATCACGTGACTCTGGGACACTGCAACCGTCGCCATAAATATGAACCAGTGGTCAAGCGTCCAAATGTAAATCACAGGACCATGGGGATGCTGCAACGGTCATAAGTGTGAAAAATGGTCATAAGTCACCTTTTCAGTGCCGTTGTAGCTTCAAATGGTCATTAAATGAACTGTTGTAAGTTAAGGACTACCTGTACTTGATTCTTTACTGCTTCCCACCTCCTTATTGTTCTCTCCTTTTTCTGCAGTTCGACGTTTTTAAAGACTGACTATAGACATGCAAAATATTATCTTAATAATTCCTTCCTTGTCTCTCCAGATTGGGAATCACCTTAATGAACCTGAGTCCCAAAGGAATCTCAAACGGATTGCCTCAGAACCCACAAATCAATTTTTTAAAATTCTTGCCAGCTTTGATCAGCTCAAAGACAGTTTCAATGATCTCCAGTCTAATATCTTTGCCATTGAAGGTAAGTCGGGCCCACCGGGTGTCTCCAGGGAGAGATTGAGGGGAAAATGCTACCTCAGTCTGTTTTTAAAACAGAGTCTTAATTGCGTTTCAAATTTGATATTAAAAAAACCTGACAAATGGGGACCTTGTGTAGAGCTGTGTACTTACCGCCTTCCTCGTGTTGATGCTCTCCAGAAGTATTTAGATTATATTTCTACTAGCAATAATAGTTTGTGAATCTGGGAAGATGTTCTCTATGGATCTGGATGGTGCCGCTCTTCCTATCCACTAGAGCAGGGATCTCCAAACTTGGCAACTTTAAGAGTTGTGGACTTCAACTCCCAGAATTCCTCAACTAGATGGGAGCTGAAGTCCACAAGTCTTGGAGTTGCCCAGTTTGGAGAGCCCTGCATTAGAGCCTTCCAATATATGTGCTTTGCCAACATGTCTGGAGCTTCTAAGATAGTTCTTGGCAGGCAGATTTTCCAAGGACTTTATCAGTGGCCTTGAAAAAATAATTGGTAAATGTTCTGTCTTTTATAACATCAGAGCCTCTGGCCTAGTCCCCATCCTTTCATTTATTCCACAAATACCTTGGCTGGTGTAGCACAGTGAGAGGTTAATGCATTCAGAACCCCCTCCCACCTGGTCATTTTCCATATCTGTATATGGGATTGGTGCAGTGGTGAGATTCAAATATATGAACAACCAGTTCTCTGTGTGGATGCCGCTTCCGGAAGTCCATCCTGGGCCTGGACAACAAAAAATTAGCTACCGGTTCTGCCGAAGTAGTGCGAACCGGCTGAATCCCACCACTGGATTGGCGATGTAGGCCATCAAATCTCTAAATTGGATTTGTCTATGTGGACATGAGCAAGCAATACCCCATATATGTTTTTTCTTACTCAGATCCCACGTTTTCTGGGATGGGAGGGGGCAAAGGTTTGTGCAAATGCCTCTGCCATCCCTCCCTCCTATTTTTCTTCATGTTCTATTTTTATTTTATTCAAAAAAAAGTTAAAATGCAAAATACGAATAGAAAACTTCAATTTTTTTTCTTCCAAATAAAGATAAAAAAACCCACAAAACATACAAGGTATTTAAAAAGTGCATTAAAAAACCCTAACATACATACATACATACATACATATACATACACACACACACACACATATATAATCCCCACTAGTTGAATATTAATATCAATCAGTAATTATTACTAATTAATATATTACAGCAATATTAATTTCTCACCCCTTGTGAAATTGCCCCCCCCCAAATGAAATATTGTTTCCCATCTTTCTTCATGACAGGTACCAGTGACAGCAGATCCTTCCATCTGGAATTGTCATCCAGTGGATTCAGCGCGGATATATCCCAGGTGAGGCTGAAGGATTGGAAAGGCCCCATCACCCCCCAAAAACAATTTACAAGTAGTCCTTGACATATGACCTCAATTGGGACCAGAATTTTCATTGCTAAGCAAGATGTTTGTTAAATTAGTTTTCCCTGATTTTATGACTTTTTTTGCCACAGTGTTTAAGCTAAACTTAACAACCACTGTTGAAAATGGCGATCATGTGACCTCAAGACACTGTAACTATCGTAAATACATGCCAGTTGCCAAGTACCTGAATTCTGATCACACGACCAGATCTTACTGGCTGGGGAATTCTGGGAATTGAAGTCCATACATCTTAAAATTGTCAAGGTTGAGAAACACGGGTATGGATTCATCATCCCTGAAACATTTGTTTTTAAGGGCAAATCAAGGCTGAGAACACTTCCAGATGAGCACATTATAAGGTTGCCATCTCTGCTTCCTGGTGATCTGCCTTTGTAAAAACAAGATCTTTTGGTCTGCAGGATCGGGTGATTCTTGGCGCTGTGGGTGCTGACAACTGGGCTGGGGGCATTCTGGAGCAGCAGAAGGATTTTGCCGGTGAAAGATTCATCACAACTCCCTCAGTCCGGAAAGAGATGGAAGGGGCCTACTTGGGTGAGTAGGGGATGCCATCATCCCAATATAATCTGGACCATTCTTCCCCATCCATCATAATATGTTGGCTAAGGATCGTGGTCATTCTGGGTGCCAGTTTATGGAGGGTGGATCTGGATGTTTGTACAAACTGGGGTTAGTTTTTGTTGTGCTTTTGCTTATCGTATAGAATTGGGATATATATACAGCTATCTTTCCTATGGAACGGAGGGTTATGAGTCAAGCTTCTATTTCAATCTTGTGGTTACTTCTTGTTAAATGTACAGATACATTTCAAATTATTCACAAATATGAATGCAGGTAGTCTTATAACAACAACAACAACAACAACAACAACAATAGTAGTAGTAGTAGTAGTAATAAAGTTGGAAGGGACCTTGGAGGTCATCTAGTCCAACCCCCTGCTCAGGCAGGAAACCCTATACCATTTCAGACAAATGGCTGTCCAGTCTCTTCTTAAAAACCTCCAGTGTTGGAGCATTCACCGCTTTTGGAGGCAGGTTGTTCCACTGGTTAATTGTTCTAACTGTCAGGAAGTTTCTCCTTAGTTCTAGTTTGCTTCTCTCCTTGATTAGTTTCCATCCGTTGCTTCTTATCCTGCCCTCAGGTGCTTTCCAGAATAGCTTGACTCCCTCTTCTTTGTGGCAGCCCCTGAGATATTGGAACACTGCTATCATGTCCCCCCTCGTCCTTCTCTTCATTAAACTAGACATACCCAATTCCAGCAACCGTTCCTTATATGTTTTAACCTCCAGTCCCCTAATCATCTTTGTTGCTCTTCTCTGTACTCTTTCTAGAGTCTCAGTATCTTTTTTACATCATGGTGATTAAAACTGGATGCAGTATTCCAAGTGTGGCCTTACCAAGGCATTGTAAAGTGGTATTAATAAGCTGCTTTGTTGTGCAGAAGGCCCTCAGCCTAACCCAGTGTATCTTAACCTTGGCAGCTTGAAAATCTATGGACTACAACTCCCAGAATTCCCCAGTCAGCATGAATTCTAGGAGTTGATGTCCACACATCTTAATGCTTCCAAAGTGGAGAAAGATTGGCCTAACCTTCTGTGGGATTTCCATCTATATGTTTTTAACCTTCCCAGGGTATACACTCGCATTTCTCCAGCATCGTCAGAAAGAGTTCTACGCTGTTGGTGCCCCTCGATACCAACATTTGGGAAGGGTCCTCTTATTTGAGGTTGACGCCAAAACTCAGAACTGGACATTAAAGCAAGAAATTAAAGGGGAACAGGTAAAGAAAAAAAAGAATCACATAATCATAAGGTTGAAACTTTGAAGGTCTTCTAGTCATAAGGAGCTTTCTAGATATTTTGGTCCACTGCTGCCTACCATCATTACTAGAACTAGGCCAGTGGTGGCGAACCTATGGCACATGTGCCAGAGGCGGCACTCAGAGCCCTCTCTGTGGGCACCATGCCCCAGAGATGGCAACCGTCCCTCTTCAACCGGCCACCCGCTAACTCGCCGAGGTCCCACATGGTCGGATGCATCCCAGCATGGCTGGTTTGCCTCCCCCCCCCCCGTCCCATCCCTCCTGGCCTCACATGCTCTCCTTTTCCCAGGCACGACCCACTGCATCGCCTCCTCAGCAGTTGGCCGGCCGTCCAGCTCAGAGGCGACTTCTCTGAAAGGCTGGTGGTGGACTGTGGAGCCCCAGAGTGTGCCGGTCAAGGGGCCCTCATGCGCTGGCTGGCCTCTGTGTGTGCGGGGGCCGATGGTGTCAGGCAGCAGCCGCCCCGGCCCCTGCCTCGCCTTGCCCTGCGACAATGGCACCCCCACCCTATCTCGCCTTGCCTCACCTCACCCCACAGGATGAGCCTCCTGCTCACTGCCCCACCTGCCAGAGACCTCCTGGATCTCCCTCAACCCTGCCCGGCCCCCACAGGCATCCTCTCCACGAGCAACATCGAAGTGACCACGCCCACCTTGGCCACACCCAACCAGTCTGCCATGACCACAGCCATGCCCACCAAGTGGGCCATGCCCACCTGGCACCTGGCGATAAATAAGTGGGTTTTGGGTTGCAGTTTGGGCACTCGGTCTCTAAAAGGTTCGCCATCACTGAACTAGGCCAGTGTTTCCCAATCTTGGCAAACAGAAGGCGATGGACTTCAACTCCCAGAAGTCTCTTTAGTGGTTAGTCTGGCTTTGGAATTCTAAGAGTTGAAGTCTGTATACCTGGAAACTGCCAAGATTGGGAAACCCTGATAGCAAAAGGATGGTCATGGTGGCCCAAGAAAACCTAATCAAGATTCTTCTCCTTCTCTTTCCCTAGTAAAGAGCAGTGGCTGAGCAGTTAAGCTAGAATCCCAAAGTCTCTCGTAGTCAAAAATCAGAAAAAAAACTGACAGCCCCATTTAAGACAACGAATATTGTGTGTGGAGATGACTTCACTGAAGCAGGATTTAAATATGGCAAAAATCAGAAGGGATCTGATAACACCGAGTAGCGGATTTTATTGTATGACTTTTGTCATCTGTAGCTCACTTCTTCAGGTGCATGGAATGGTTAAATATGGAGTACCCAGAGAAAGAGAGAGAGAGGGAGAGAGAGAGAGAGAGAGAGAGAGAGAGATGATGGGGTGATGGGATGGTTTTGCAGATGAAGATTCAAGGGGAAAGATTACAAATACTGGCCAATTAACAGGTGTAATATACTGAAACCCACAGTGTGTTCAGATGTTTAAACAGGCCAGACTTAGTTAGACAACGTAAATGTACGTGATCATTTCAAAGTACCGTAGAAAGATCAACTGTCTATGATCTATGATCGGGGATCCTGTGCTGGTGTTCTGCCTTTTCACTATATGCATTTTGACACCCCTTTTACAGACTGGGTCATATTTTGGAGGGGTGCTTTGTGCTGTGGACATAGATGGTGATCAAGAAACAGACCTGCTGCTTATCGGGGCCCCGCAATATTTCACCGAAACAAGAGGAGGCCGAGTTTATGCATATGGCTGGGAAGAGGTGAGGCATGAAAATGGGCAGGGCAATACATATCCAACACACCCGTGAGATGCCCACATTGTATTCTAGATTTGGAGAGTGAACACTCTCTAAAGATTCCTTTTCCTTCTAGGATAATCTCATTCTCCTTGGAGAATTTAATGGGAATTTAGGATACCCCTTGGGCAGATTTGGAGCAGCCATCACAGATCTGGCAGACGTCAATGGGGATGGACTGATGGACGTGGCTATAGGAGCTCCCTTAGAGGATGAAGAGAGAGGAGCTGTCTACATCTACAACAGCCATGAGAAGACTCTGCAGATAGAGTATAGCCAGGTAGGGCTACAGCAATGATGTTACATGCTAGTATCACCTGAGAGATTTGCTAGAATGCCACACCCGCCTGTTCGCTGCTGATCTCCAAAGCTAATAGGTGAGAATGCCACACCCACCTGTTCGCTGCTGATCTCCAAAGCTAATAGGTGAGATCAGAGTAGTACCTGGATTAGAAACCACTACTAAATGCTAGAGCTGTAGGCCTCTCAGAAGACACCAATGGTCAAGTGTTTCCATATTGTTCCAGTTTATGTTTATGTTTATGTTTATTTAGATTTGTATACCGCCCTATCTCCCTTACGGGACTCAGGGCGGTGAACAGGCGATAATAAAAATCACAATAAATATCTATTCTAAAATCAAATTAAATAAATAAAGGCCTGCTCTAAAATACCCCATAAAAAACCTATACTAAAACCTAATTAAGACTACGCCAGGCCGGCTGCACGAAATAGATGAGTTTTCAGGGCTCGGCGAAAAAGGCGCAGGTCCGCAGTTGTACGTAGGTCGGGGGGTAGGTCATTCCAGAGGGCAGGAGCTGCCACAGAGAAGGCTCTCCCCCTGGGGGTTGCCAGCCGGCATTGACTGGCCGACGGCACCCTAAGGAGGCCCTCTCTGTGGGAGCGGACTGGTCGAAGGGAGGTATGTGGTAGGAGGCGGTCTTGCAAATACCTAGGTCCATTGCCATGGAGCACTTTAAAGGTTGTTACTAACACCCTGAAGCGCACCCGGAAGGCCACCGGCAGCCAGTGCAGCTCACGCAGGAGAGGTGTTACATGGGAGTATCTAGAGGCCCCCAAAGTGAAGCTACATGGATATTTCTGTAAAGTAACTGATAGAAGTAAGTCTTCATCCTGGTTCATCCAAGCCGGGAATAAATAAGCAAACATGGCGACTGCTTTGGGAAGAAGGTTACAGTTTATTGCAGAAGCAGAAAGATGGTTCTTCAGGAAAGAGCAGAGGAGAGAAGAGAGACTGAGCACATGGGTAGAAGGTTTTTATACCCCCTCCAGCCCTATTTGGAATAGTTTCCTGTTCCTGTGGCATGAACCTTGAGGATATTTCTGAGTGCTTTTCTAGGCCTTGATATCTGTGGTTTAATCCTATTATCATATCCTGCTTCCCAGGTGATGGGGCTAATGACTCCTAGAGTTTGGGTGGGGCATGCAGATTTTCTCTTTGTCTTCTTGATTGCTCTGGCTTCAACTTTCTGATGGTTTTATATCTGCATTTGTATGGGGCTAGGTCTTGCTTGGGCCAGAGAGATAGATTTGGAGCCAAAGTTGGTTTCTGGTTTTTAAAATACTTTTGAGGAAATATATTTTTCTGCCCTTTTAATATTTCCTTCTCTG